ACCGAATGCCCACCAAATGCTTACTGAATGCTTGCTGAATTTACTGAATGCTTACCGAATGCTTACTGAATGCTTGCTGAATTTACTGAATGCTTACTGAATGGTTGCTCATTGCTTACTGAATGCTTGCTAAATGTTTGCTGAATGCTTACTAAATTCTTACTGAATGCTTACTGAAAGTTTGCTGAATGCGTTCTAAATGCTTGCTAAATCATTACTGATTGTTTTCTAAATGTTTTCCGAATGCCTACTGAATGCTTACTGAATGCTTACTAAATGCTTACTGAATGCTTGCTGAATGCTTGTTGAATGGTTCTCGCATGTTTGCTAAATGCTTACTGATTGTTTACTGAATGTTTGCTGAATGCTTATTAACACTAGAAAGCCTAGAAATACGAGCATTTTTGCGTCAACCTCCAGTCCCCCCAACAGTACTTCAAAACTCATGAATCCCTTTTCAGATGTAAATGCACCATTAGCACTGTGCTTCCACCCCCTACATAATAAAATAGCGGTGCCATTCAGGCTTTGGGAAATTCCTCAAAAAAGTATTTTCAAATCCAATAAATGGAATATAAAAGACATGAGATGAGATACACCTGAAATGAATGTGATAATCCAACTCTCCTTGGTGACACTTTTGAATATTTATCTCTGATTATTTTGCAACTTGCAGAAGGTCCCTAAAAACATTTGTGGAGAAGCAGAATAAGTATAAAATGAGCAATGACTACACTATAGATCATTGTAGTGCCACCGAACTTGTAGCACACATTGATAATTTCATCTGGATCATACTACAACTCTTATTTTCAGAATATATGCTAAACTCTATTTTTTTTTAGATTTTTTTCATTGTTATAATAAGCAGGCCAGGTGTGCAATCTCTGCAACAGGAATCACGGCCCTGAGCGTTGTGTGCACTGCACAAAGTATACCTGTCACAAATGCAGGAAGGACTCACCCTGGGTTTGTAAAAACTGCTAAATGGGACAATTGTAGCTTCATATGTAGTGCTTTTCTTTGGGTGAGATAAATGTTACTCCAATACTGAAATCATACTGTTTGTCATTTTCTAAGCTGAAATGTTGAATGACATGAAAAGACGAGACAAGACAAAATACAATTATTCTCTAAGTTGTTCTTTCTTT